CGGCTCCGGCTCTGCCGCAGCCGGGCCCGCGGCCGCCGCGCCTGCGCTTCTACCGCCCGCGATGAGGCGGAGCCCCGGCCCGGCTGGCGCCCGGCCCGGCCCCCGAGGAAGGGGGAAGGAGCTGCCCGCCCCCGGTCCGGCCCCGAAACGATGGAGCTCCGGTCGTCACAACGGCCGGAGGGGGCTGGTGGAAAGCCGGGCTGACTGGGGACGGGGAAGGGGGTGTTGGGGAACGGGGATGGGGATGGGCTGAGATGGTGTGTGGGGAGAGGGAGAGGTTGTGGGGACAGGGATGGCATCTGGGGCTGGGATGGCGTGGAGGGCTGGGATGGCGTGCGGAGACAGGGATGGCGTGTGGAGACAGGGATGGCGTGGCGGCGGGGGGAACGGGGATAGTGGAGGGGACAGGGATGGTGTTGAGGGGACAGGGATGGCGCCTGGGCACTCATTTCTCAACCCACCCGCCCTGCAGGCTCTGGGGTGTTTAAAAGCCACACCACCACGTTTTCATTTTTAAATTGGGGTTTTATTGTCAGTCCAGTGGGGTTCGAGTGTCCCCCGTACACTCAGCTGCAGAGCCAGCGGCCAGGCAGCGCTGCACGCCACCGGACCACGTCTCGCGGCCCCGGGGAAAGAACGAGGCTGTGGCCACGAGCCCACGAGTCGGGGTACACACTGCTGGCTCTCCAGGAGGCTGGGCTCTTTTGCACCCCCAAAAGACCACTCGGGTCTGCTGTAAACATCCATACAAACACAACACAATTCCACAGTTAGATTACAAATAGCGCAGCATGTCCTCTCCAGCTCCTGCTGCCTCCACGATCACTTCCAGCCTGCGTACAGGACACTGTTGGAGTGGTGCATTGCAGCTACCCTGCCACGGCTCAGTGCGACCACAATACATTCATTTATCAAAGCGAGATGCATCTGCAGGAAGCGGCACCCAAAACACCATGTAAATGCATTCATCGCGGGCCCTGCATCAACCTTGCCAAGGCACAAATGTCTGTGAGGTCCAATAAGCCGTGCTCAGGGTTTATTTTCGTGGCTGCATCTTGTTCATCGATCTTACCCTGACCGACTCTAGAACTGTCAAATCCATCGTTAGTCCTGTACCCAACTCCCAGGCCTTGCTCGTCTAGATCCAGCAAATCTGATGTTGTCTTCCACCATCCATCTCCCAACAGCCAGGGAACTAACATTAGGCTGTAGGCTTTAACGCGGCAGGGCATATAGGCTCTGATTCACGCCTTTAAGTCCATATCCAGTTTCCAGAGTGCTCCTGAGCTTTTCTAGTTCAGCAAGCGGGAAGCAGAGCTCAGACTTCTATGCTGCATTTCAAAGCTGCTGCCTGTCAGCAGCACATCTGTGTAAACGCACTGTCTTTGCACGCACACACACAAGTTCACCTTCAAACACGGAAGTAATAAAATAAAAGTCATCACTGAAAACTGCTGACAAACAGGAAGAAACACCCTGAAATCAGGACGGTAAAGAGTTCCTTCTGGAGTGACCATTTCCTGCAGCGACTTCAGCACAGTACAAGCACATAGTACAGGCATATTCCAAAAAGGTGTGTTTTTCTCATAGAGATCATAAATGTCCTGCAGAGTCCTGGTTTTCCTTCAGCAATGATCACATTTTACATCAAGTTGACCACAGATGCTGTTAAATCAAGGCTTATTCTTTAGACACTGCACTCTGCACTGTAAAAAAGAGCTAGTGATGGAGGGGACTTGGCAGGGGGTGGGAGGAAAGGGGCCTAGTTTATGATGACCTCCCAAAGGACTCCGGAAGCCAAAAGCAGGCCCTTCAACAGATTCTCCCTTGTTTGGCTTCCAAAAACTGAGATTCCCAAAAGTCACCTTCAAGGAGCTTTAGTACTGCAGTCTATTGAGTGAGTCGATGTAATGAAAAATGGCTCCCAATGCCCAGCTCGTTTCAACATTGTCAATTTTCCGGGCAAGCTGGTGGGGGGGAAAAAAACCCAAACAAAAAAGTTAAAACAATTCTTTGGGAGAAGGAGAAGCATGCAAGGTGAATACAGTGCTGAAGGTTATCACAACCGGTTATCACCATCGTGGGGACGGTGTCCCTCGACCCCCAATCACAGAGCATGTGTTGGAGCAAGAAGGCAAATCAAGGACTGAGCTACTGGCATGATGACTACTTCCTCGGCACCATCCTTCCCACTCTCCCCAGCAATCCATTTTATGCATCACCTTAAAGACTTGGCTCTTCGGGAAACCCAGTTCTTGCAGGAGGATGGTGATGTACGTGAGGTCCATGCAGAGAAAAGGGCTGCTTCCAGGGCTGATTTCCATGGTCTTACATACTAAGGAGAAAGAAAACAGTGTCTGAATGCGCACTGTGGGCATCAGCCCAGCTTTGAAAAACCTCAAGTGAAACCATAAAACACCTCTTGTCAGTTGAGCTGCGCAGCGATGAAACCTGTTACAACGGGGTTGAAATGACATGCACACGTTAGCAGAAGCACAAAAGCTTTGGCACACTGGAAGGAAGATCAAAGCATTCTGTCTCTCCCCTAAGACAGCTGCGTTTCTTGTATCTCTCCACGAAAGGATGAAAAGGGCCTCCAACTTTTCTTCTAAGTCAAGCCTTTAAAAATCTGAGCAACCTCAGGTGTGTTATGTTTCTCGAGCATAAGCACTCAACACATGTTGACAAAACCAAAGGAAAAACAAAAAGACAAAAGAAAAGACAAAGAAAAGACAAAACCAAAATAAAACTCACTTCCTTTCTCAGGATGAATGACACAAATGGTAGTCCAGAAATCAGAACTGCAACAATTGTTCAGAAATTCATAAAGTTTACCAAAAAGCCCTGTGTCAGTTTGATCAAAGCCTGAGTTTGTGGTATTAAGAAAAGAATGTTTACATTTGTAAATCTGCGTAGGCAGTTCTCTCTGCAGCTGATGAAGTGAAAAGCTATGAACTGGTTTTCCCCCTTTTCCAATTAACAATCAAGCATATGAACAAATCTTGAGACAAAAAGAAAAATTAAACCAGATTAGGACAGGTTATGCTAACAGGATGAGAACTCCCACATCTATTTTGAAAGCATGATTTCAGGACAACTGTTAACTGGTAAGTTTATTAGTAATTCTTGAGAGAGTTTTGAAATATAAGTATTATAAGGTATGTCTTATGTGGGCTGCAAAAGCAAGAATTAATACAAAAATAGTTGAGATTTTCAGAAATAAGCAGAAATGTTGGTGAGATGCCTTGGAGAGAGGTGCTTAATATTTACTTAAAAAAATCAGGCTTCTTAGCATGTCACACATATGCCACCTGGGTATGAATTTACACACAATTACATGTGTGTATGTGTGAGATTGTATTTTACTCACCGTATTTAGCTGCAATTTCAAAGTCACCAACAGTTAAGCTTCCTCCTTTTTCTTTATCTAGAAGGAAAACAAAAAAACATGTTTTTTTATGGTTTTTGTATAAAGGCAATTGTAGATTCAAGTCATAAAAGTTGTTTAGAAATCAAACCTTGAGTCACTGAAATTAATGACAAAACTCACACTTGCTTTAAAGGTAGAAAAGCCTTTAAAAGATTCTCAGTATAGATTGAAAAGCCTTGTTTTATGAAGAGCTTTTAGCCTCGTTTCCTAAAGAAGCATAGTTTACAGACTCTCTCACCTCGTCCCCATGTCTGTGCTGCCCTGCCCTGTGATGCCTGAACACAGTTAACGCCTTTGACCAGATCTGACAGGGCCGTGGTGCTCTGCGACATATTAAATCTGAAATTAATTGTAAAATAAGATGGCTGAGGAGGGGGGGTATATTTGTCCAAACTAGCTTGAAATCTCATCATCTGCTTTCTACCACTGAACACGACAGCCTTCTGTACACCAGCATACCACTAGAAAAGAGATGGGATGCATTCTGAGTACACGTGCAATTACCTGAAAATCTTCATTCCATCTGAAAAGGTCAGTGAAGCAAAACACACAGCCCAAGATCACTTTACTGCTTTATCGCCCAAGAAATTTGTTTATCATTATGACGGCTTTTTTCTATTTTGGATTGTAGAGTTAATCAGACAACAAGGATTTCTGAAATGCAGGCAGTTTGTTTAAAAACCATTACCAGAAGTTGCAGGTCCTATTTTGCAGCCCCAGTCCCTTCTCTATAGAAATTAAATAGCATTCAATATCCAGTCGAGGCCAATGCTGCACAGCAGTGTAGCAAAAGACTAAGTTCCACGACAGCTTAGCAAAGCATCTTGATGTGTATAAGCGTCACCATTTCTTCCATAACTTGTCATTTAAAATGAAATGAAAACAGGAGCAAACGTACCTATGAGACCAATCTCTGCTGCACGGTCATAGTAGTAGGAGAAAGTGTAAAAATCCAAGTCCTTCACTTCCTCAGCTTTATGCACTTTTTTGTAGAGCATCTTTGCCACTTTGTTAGAACAAGACTCATACAGAGGCTCACCTAAAAGAAGGCAGAGAAACACAGCATATTATAGGCAGAGAGGAAAATATACTTACTTCTTTAGGATCTGGCAGGAAACAGGCTCCCTTTTGCACAATAGCACTCCGTAAGCTTTTCACAGACAACTGAAGTCTGCATCTTCTTCCAGTGGCAACACTTACCATCCTCAGCTTGGGACGAAGTATGCAATAGATCAGAAGAGATGGAAAACATCATTTGAGGCAGAAGGATTTTGAAAGACCTGTTCAGGGATTGCTCAACTCCAGCCGCATTAGTACTAGCAGCTTTACTGACTGGACGGACACACCATGCCACAAGAGGAAAGAGCTGCAGAATCTCTTTAAAAGCACATCAAGAGGAGCCAGATAGAATGGTAAACAGAGAATCTAGTGTCTCTGCAAGAGGCTGAGAGTGTATCATTTACTCTGCTAATAGCATGCTGGCCTAGATAGAAAGAGTGATAAATCACTATACCTGCCTTCTGTCCTTTAATTTTGTACACTATCTCAGCATGCTGCCATTCAGATTTGAAGCCAGGTGGTAAACAAGGGCTGATCAATTCCTCCCCTTCTCCTACTGCAGAAGTAAAACATTAGGGAAAAACATCAGGAGTCAATTTCAGATCCCTCACCCCCAGCCCTGCTCCATACTGTCCCACAGCCTCAGCAAGGCACCTCCAAGTCCCAGTCATGGCTCAGATGTCCCGTGCCCCCCACCAGGGCTGGCAAAAATCCAGGTCTCCTGGGATCTAGCAGTGTCACCTCCTGCATTTGTCTCAAATGCACCCAGCCATGGTGACAGGAGTCCACATACCACTCAGGAACCTTCAGCCCAGTGGGAAGGGGACAAACTCCTCCCCCCACAACAGGGCTATGTACCCTATGCTCAGAGCCAAGACTTGAGGAGTGCCCAGAACTTACAGGGTTTTCCCTCAACTCCTCCTAAAATGGCGAGCCTCGCTGACATCAGCCCGAGTCCCAGGTAACTGCAAAGGGATAAAAGCCTCTGTGAAAAACAAACAGCCTTCCTCTGATACTCCACTGACAACTTGGCTGGGACGTGCCAGTCTCCTCTACATGGTCCCAGCAAAATGGCTCAAGTCAGCAGCTAATGCACATAAGGGGAACAGTGTGACAACCCACTCTCATATTACACTCACCCAGAAGGATAATCTCTCGTTGAAAAAGTACAGGCAATAGCTGTCAATGGTAATCTGACTCTTGAAGAACTGGGAATGCTGAAGGCATTCCCCTAACGTTTCTCCTACCCTCCTCACAAGCAGCACAGCCTCTAGCATACAGAATTGACTCTTTTTGAGCCCAAACACACCCCACAGCAAACATAGGTGGGAAGAAGCTGCTTCCCTCTGCCTAAAACACTGGGAGCAGGGGAAGACAGTGAAGAGGAAGGAATGGCAGAGGCAAAGCACTATGAACTGACTGCAACACACATTCTTCATCCTCCTGCATGGCTCAGCAGTGAGGAGGTAGAAGAGTTGGGAGTAAAGCTGAGCCTGGGAAGGAGGGAGAGGCGGGGAGAAGGGGTTTTTCATTTTGTTCATATTTCTCATTATCCTACCATTTAATTGGCAATAAATTAAATTAGCTTCTCTAAGTCAAGTCTGTTTTGCCCATGACAGTAACTGCCAAGTGACCTCCCTGTCCTTATCCTGAGCCAGGAGCTTTTTGTCGTATTTTCTCTCCCCTGTCCTGTTGATGGAAGGGGAGTGATAGAGCAGCTTGGTAGACACCTGGCAGGCAGCCAAGGTTAATTCACCACAATGACATGGCTCAGGTTTCTCCACTTCTTCCTGGTACTCATTTGCAAGGACCTCACTTCAGCAAAACACCTAATCTCACTGGCTTCATAAAAAGCTTCTATCTGTCCAGTGTGTTCTCTTTCCCGCAACTAACCTGTACGAATACAGCTTGTAGGTGTTGTTAAACATCTGAAATGAAGTTGTATGGCCAGCTGGTGATGTCTGGAGAGTGGTCTGGAGGGAGAAAAAGATGTCACTGCAAGGTTTCTGCTGGCAGCAGAAAACATCAACAACACAATCTTCTGAAACATTAGGAAAAACATGAAACAATCCTAGCATGCCTCAGAGAGAAATGATGAATTTGCAAGTATTTCGATTTGACCGCTGATACACCAGACAACCACAAAACCCGGAGCTAAAATAGTCTCTTCACATGACAGAGTCTAAACTGGTTACATTTCTATTTGTATCCACACCAAATTGGTATATAAAAGAATTATTTTAATTAAAAAGGAATCCTTATTCCAGCCCTTAACTCATTTTGTCAAGAGGCTACAGCAACTGCTTCTTCACATGATCCCTACTAGGGAAAACAGTGTGCAAAATAATATGAAAGCCAGGCACGCATTAACTTCCTACTCAAGTGAATTCAGCTGTGAACTTCCACAAGCCAGAGGAAAAGCACATCACTGTGCTTGCCAAGGAACAGAGTGAGGACCAGCCTGTGGTCTGAAGAAATGAAAGGGTAATTATCTAATGCACTTTTCAGCCCCTTCCCCAAGTGCACCAGCATGGCTAGCGCGTTTGTGGGGAGCAAAGCTCAGGCCACGATACTATTCATGCTGCTTATATCTTAACACCATCTCTAAGCCCAGAATTTCCACATCCCGGACTCTTCACATCCCCTATCATTCTGCTGTAAGAGTATAATGTCTTGATCAGCCCAGGCTGGCACATTAGGTACAGCATTCCAACCCTCTGCTTTTGTGCAGCTTTACTATGAACAGTATCTCTGCTCAGGCCAGAGCCTTATGACTCCGCATCTACAGGGCTTCCAGCTCACAGAACACCTATAAAAATGCCACAACAGGAAGCTGAAATGACAAACGTCAGCATGTATTTGTACTGCACAGTAACAGTTGCTCCTTAGAAAGCATTCATTTGCAACTCAGTGAACTCAGGAAAACCAGAAGGATTGACAAGGCGTCTCACTCTGTTCTTAAAACCCAATATAGGCCAAATGTTGGACCTGAATTCATTAACAGAGTTGCCTTTGAGTTCTTCATTATAAGCAGCACAAAGTGAGAGTCAAGGATTAAGACGCTCAGACGAACACTGCATTTTCCCCAAGATAAAGCAGCCCTGGCAGATTCACCACATGCACCACTGACCCATGCAGTTGGAGTAAGAGGACTGACAAAGAATTGTGAATGCCTCTGTGACTGACTATAACAAGGCAGATGTGACTTCTGTCAGAAGCATGGCTTCATGTCACACTGACAAACTCTTGGCCAGTTTCCAAGGGAAACAAATCTGAGCAGTTACTGATTCCTGCACCAGCATTTCCCAACAGTGTGCATGTTCACATTACCTCAGTGCGTGGAAGGAAGGTGATCTGTGTTGATCCACCACCCAAATCCAGCATCCCTACACTTCTCTTCTGCGGATCATCTAGGCTACCTGAAATGTGCGACAGAACAGAGAAAGCCATGGTGGGTGCTGTGAGAAACTTGCTAGAAACAAAACCAGAAGTATAGTGGTAAAGAAAGAGGACAATCTAACTCCATCTGTCAGCTTCCAGCCAGCACAAAATTATACTGTCATCTACTGGGCACTTATTTGGGCTTTATCAGGGTGACCTGAAAATCTTCAATTGACAGAGTTTCTCTTATTTCTCTGGTGGCTGTTCATGCCCTAATTACAGCAGCTTTGGTTACTGGATTCCTAAACGTTTTTCAGTGGATGTAAGGACCCTTTTGCAAACTCTGCTCTGGTAACCGCTTTGTAACACAGAGGAATGTGGTTTTCTTGGCCATCTCTCCCTGATCCCTTAGTGATATTTTGCAGATTGCTATGGCCAAGGGGACGACAGACTGAAAAGAGCTGGCCTAAGAGATTCAGCTCTCTTGGAATTCTGCCAGCTGCCAGCCCAGACCTCTCTTCTCATTTAAATCCAGTTCTTCTCAGTTAGATGCTTCAAATAAACCCTCCTGATAAGACTAGTTTGCACCAAGTGCCTCGGTATACCTCATGATAGCTTATGTCTGAAGATCTCTGACCTTTCTGATATTTCCTGTGAGCATAAAAAGGTTTAGAGCACTTGTGTTGCTCCACACACTGTGTGCGCTGAACAGAGCACTTGGACAGCAGACTGCTTTACTTATTGTCAGAGAGGGCTTCAGCTTAGTTTTTTCTTTACTCTTCAGCTACCCTTTTCTAACTCAGCAGTGTAAACACTTGTGGTTTTTCTATGTTACAAACCTGTAAGGAAGTAGCATAGCCCTTGCCTTCACTCTGTGCAGCTGCCAAGCACAACTAGAATATCCACATTAAAAATTTAGCCAGAGCTAGTGGCAGACTCTAAAAAGGAATAAAATGCTTTGGTACCCTACAAGGAATTGAAAGAAAGGCTACATTAAACATCTAGGAAAAGGGATTAAACTCCTCACTCTGTCAAGTAAATGGCCAAAATCCTAATGACTTAAATAGGCCAGGCCAAAAACAACTGCTGACTTATTCCCAGCTCCTTCTTTCTCCCATTCGACCCCAATGAATGAGCAAATCCCACACAGGGGCAGAAAACAGCATGAATTTCACAGCATCAGTCATATCTTTATGCGCATGCTCACGTACACATACCTGTTAAAAAATTTATTGTGATCCAGGCTGAAATACCTAATAAGAAAAAGATTCAGAAGACGCACTGTTAGATCATACCATTTCATTCTATCTAACAACAGTAACAAATAAGGTGAGCCGTATTACAGGGTCTTCCTGCTTTAGGATCTGTTTAGCTGGAGGCATTTTTAAGTTTTCTCATACGGTTTAACTGCACCATCTAAACAAAATAACCAGCAAACCAGAGCTTGTCATCCAACAACAGACCGAAACACCAGAGACCATCTGTCACAAGCTCCCTCGTCCCCCTTCCACAAATGGACGACTTCTAATACAAAGTCTCCAAAGGATGTCCAGTTGAGAGCTAAGCAAGAAGGATCTTCAAGACGAGTGAATAGGACTGGCCCTGCTGAGCTCTCCTGACCCACCTTGCCCCAAAGCCAGTGTTTCCACAACTGTCAACAGCTGTCAAAAAACAAGATTAGATGCCTTGAACAAAGAGAATGACCTTCTATACCAGAGCTGATGTGACATTTGGAAGAGAAGCCCCATATACGAAATGCCTGGAGAACTCTGTATTTCACAGGTCAAAAACTTAGGCGAGAAGTCACAAAGGCTTCAGCCCTTAGCTAAAAGACAAGGAAATGACTGACACTCACACTGTTCATTTTCTAGGAGAACATCCACTGGTAAGCTTTTGTTTGATGTCAGGCACTCGACTTTCCTTTTGAATACTAAGAATTTTCATCTCTTCAGTGTTCTAATTTTTCCTATTTTCAGCTAAGCATTTTTGTGAGCCACACTGCTTCTGTCCTCTTCCTCTTTTATAAAACTTTTCTCCATAAATTAGATGAATTAGTCGGCCTCATGTTAACAAATTAAAATATTTATCCATGTGGTTAAAACTCAAGGCATGCTAGGGAACATGGTCCAGTTCAACCCTTGGCTGAACCAAGGCTATCACTGCTACTCATGATTTTAAAACAAAACAAAAAGAAGAATTACAATGTCTGTCTTCCACTAAGCAGTAAAAAAGAAACTCATCAACAGCCCCAAACAGCTCCAGCTATTTTAAAGTTTGGTTTCTAAGCGGATTTAAAACATATTTCAACACTCAGTTACTTAGAATTCAGACACATTTCCTCAAATTATTTTAAATCAAGACTGATTCTGGGTTCTGTCCCCAGTATTTTTTGATGAGCATCAACTTATTTCAGCATGTATTTTCTTCTCTATATAACATTTTTTCAGATTGAATTCACAATCACACTCATTAGATCAGTTATAATTAACATTATGACCAAATACTTCCAGAAAGCTCTTATGAGCATTGTCAAGAGCAGGGTGTGCAAAACCAGTTGTCGAAGACCATCTCAACAAGCAGATTCAGAAACCTTTTCAGATGTGCTGACTGCACAGTGGCTTCCTGGTGACCCCAAAGGAACTGCCCAGCACTCAAAGCTTTGAAAATCAGGACAGAGTTCAGAACTTCAAATTGGAAAACGTAGCACAAGATCTCTTTGGCAGGCACTGCCTGAAGCAGAGTAAAAACTGTGTCAAACCCGCTGCTTGTGGGTTCCCACTACAGTGAGAGGGGACTTGTCGCAGTGCAGCAGGAATCTCCAGGGTTGCAGAAAGGGTCTCCACAAGTTAGCCTACCTTCATCGGTTCCGTTCATTATCGACACGCAGTTGTCCCTCACGAAGAAGGGAGAGGCCTGAAAAATCTCCTTCACCTGTAGTTCAAATAAAAGCTACACTCAGAGAAATCTTTTTTTTCAGCTGAAAAGCAAGCTTTTTCAAAACTCCAGTTTTACACAACTGGTCTTCTTCTTGGGCCAGATCCTGACTGCTGCTCACCACTTTGAAGTTCAAGAACCCAACAAGCATCAGCCTGCGCTCTGCTATAAAAGGTCAGCAATTTACATGCTGGCTCTGCAGTTTGATGCAGAGACAGCGATGGATGTCTGGGTTTTCAAGCATGAAGACTGCTCAGAAATGCCATTAACAAGGGATGAACCTGGGTAGGGAAGGGAACCCAGTTTACTTTGCTACAACTGGTGATCCACAGGGTATTATATATGCACTGGAGAGGCAGGAGATGGACACCTTGGCTTTTAGGAATGCCCCAGGGAATGGCATTTTTAACAGGAGCATGTTGGCTGTTAGAGGTCCTCTACACTACATCCTACATGAGGCAGCAAAGCCCTAGGTTTCCAGAGTCCTCTGAAGTAAAACCTGCAGTGGTTCCAGCTGAAATTCAGTGTGGAAAAGAATGGGCCAGCTTGCGGGCAGCAGAGAACAATACAGACATTGGTTTCAACTGCACCACATTTCTTTCTTCCAATTATTGCTTAGAAAAAGAGTACACTTAGTGCACTTAATAAACTTTTCCTGCAGCCATAAGGGCCAGAACATAATATTTTGTTTATTTTTATGATATTTTAAAATATTAAACATATTCTACATGCCTATAAATATAATGCACATTATTTCCAATCTATATAAAGGAGCAACCTTGCAGCAGCTGGCTGATAACATGACCAATCAAATAGCAGAGAGCTTTTCTCAAAATAGCAGCATGCTGGTCAAAACCACCAACAAACACACCCAGTAAGAACACGCCTGTAGTGATTGTTAGGAGTATCTCATTACACTTGTTAGATGTCATCTCCAGGCCTATTTGGAGCTGTCATCAATCCTCTGTGCTTGTACTCATGCAATTTCTCCCCCCAGCCCCATTTGAGATCAGGTGGCTCTGCGCTGCTTTCAGGCTTAAATGATAGGAATGGCTCGTACCTGAAGATAAAGGAGTATGTACTTTACGCAGAAGGGACCAAACTTTGCTATAAAATTTCTGGAAAGCAAACTGAAAGATGAGAAATAGTACCTTATCCAGCAACTTCTGAGCTTTCTCTCCTGGCAGCAAACGTAAGCCAGCTGTGGCTTTCAGGACCAGAGGAGTAAACTTCCACAGCTCCATAGGAACTTCTTTCTTCGCCACCTCCAGGAGCTCTTTTATTCCCTGGCCACTCTGTGAGCAGAGAAAGAACAAAAGAAGGCAATTAGAAACTCTTTAGATTTGCCTTTCTTGGAAGGGCAAAAGGGTGATCAGAGGTATGATTCACTGTAAATGTGTAACAGAGACAAGTGAATATCACAAGGGGTCAGGAGAAGGTGGAGGACTCACTATCTCCCACAGCGTGAGACCTGGTGGATATAATGGGGATTATCCAGCAACAGGTCAAAAACAAACAGGAAGAGTCACTTTTTCAAACAGTGACATAGAACTCTATGCCACTGAATGTCTTGGCTACAAAAGGCTCAAAAGGCAGCATGCCAAATCCTTGGGAAAAAAAAGGCCTTTGGAGCCTGTAAAACACTATGAGCTGCGTCTAAGTCTGGCTTACGAAGTCCCTAAATCCCTGCGAGCCAGAAGGTAAGGGAGACGGGAGAGAAGTCACTTAGTACTTGGCCTGGTTTTTAGACTATTTTCCTGAGAATCCAATTCCAGTCGCTTCTGGAGAAGGCTCTGCTCCAATCCAACACACCTCTTTTGTCTTTTTCTTAAGCTCATCAAAATTTTTAACACAGAGATGGGAAAAACATCCACTATGCTTAATTAACAACATCACCGAGTGGAACTAGATGCATTCTGTTCCTTGCTCCTCTGCATGTTGACCAACTTTTACTGTGGGCTTCTATCATTTGGAAACACTTCCCTGAACTGAGACAGTTCAGCATACTGTACCACGGCAAGATAGATGTGATTTGCAGGACATATCAAAACCAGGATGATTTGGGGCATGTATTTTTACAGTAACAGAAACAAAATTACCTTTTCAACATCATCGGCATATGCAGATAGACCTGGCTTCAGTGCTTTAAACGTCTCATGGGTTAATTTGGGAGTCTCTGTTAAAAGTAGTATTCCAAAATAAGTAATGGTACAAATAATTTTGCACACACACAAAGAACACCATTTTACAAATTACATTATTATGTGCTAATGGAAGTCAACCGAAGCCTCTGTCTAATGAACTATCAACAGCCACCCAACCTTTAAATACAGCCCTTGCTATGGAATTAGCTCCTGAGAAAATAATTTTTAAAAGTCATGCCTGTTTTTCAGGTGCTGGTGTCCACTATGCACATATTTCTCATGCACATCAGACAATCACCAGATGGGTGCAAGTTCTCTTTGAGCCATGACACCTGCCATGTGCAGCTCTCCAAACTGCACCGGTAACAAAGACCCCACGTTTCAGCGTGCTCTGTTCTGGCTAAACTTGACTCCAGCAAAACTCGGTGGCAGCAGAGGGAGCCAGACCAAAGTATTTGGGAAACCTGCAGTATAGACAATTACACGAACCTGCAGGTAAGACAACATGAACTTGACAACATCCTTCTCCTGTACCCAATTACACTCCACAAAGTTTCCTGCAATGTATTCTGAAATTGTCTTTAAAGAGAAGTAGGCAAGGAAGAAGCAAAGATTTGGGAATACATTGAAAGAAGGAAATCCACAGACTGCTGTTTAACACCTTTGGTGGCTAAGCCTTACGCTAGCCCATTCTGCAAACCTAAGGTGCTTCCCACAGGCCAACCACACCATACGCCACACTGCTAATCCTTAAAAGCATCCTCAGATCACCTACTAACAGCATCCACACGGGTTCTCTCATCTTTAAGAGTTTCACAAATAGGAGCTGGCAACACCTAAACGAATGAAGCTTATGACTTCAGAGGAAAACTGGAGCTTTTTGCACACTTCTGTCTCGCTTCTCAGTGATACTTTCTGCCCAGATGCAATACACAGCAATTTTAACAAAACAGTGAAGTTTTGCAATTTAAATCCAACATTGAAGCCAAGGATGCACTAAACCAGACAACGCAGAGAAAAGCAGCTCACTGCCAGGAACTGGAGACAGCCAACAACCTCATGGTGAAAATTTGGGGGAATAAGGCCGTTTGAATTTGTAATCCTCTCTTCCACCAAGCAGTGTGATGAAAAACTGCTCTTCTTCAAGGCACTGTTCTAAAGGTATAGCTGCTATTTACTTCACATTCTGACATTACAGCATCTTCTCCTTGTTGAATGTTTTCATAATTTTATCCAAACCCACATGCTTGAATCATAATATACTTCCTAATGGTTCTCTAGAAAGAGCTGAAGCATGTTTATTCAAGTAATCCCTAGAAAAGAATCATCAATAACCTGCTCCATATGTTATGGAAGAATTAATCTATCATGCAATGAGCAGGCCATACCTTTTGGCTGCTGTGTAAATTTAAAAATATGGATGCGAGTTCCTGTGCTTCCTGCGTCAAACATAATTCCATAAAAAACCGAGAGATCTGTGGTCAGTGACCGATGGTTCAGTTTGTCTCCCCTGCTTTCAGCAACTCCTTCTGTTGCTCCCACGACTGGTTTGGAATCCAAGTGCCATTTTATGTATGCAACATAAATAGCTATGCATGCCAAAATCCCAAAAGCGAAGAACCGCTTTGATATCTTCATGGCTTCCATTTATCAGATGTTTTGTTTCTTCCCTTTATCAAATGTTTTGTTTCTTGTCCTTCACACAGAACAGGTTGTTCCCACATCACTCCTATATCCAACAGAAAAGAAAAGGTATGTTTTATTTTCTGAACCTGCTGAAAGGATTAAGAGTATGTTGGTTATTTGCTAAGGGACTTACAGGAGTAAACTTGACTTGGGCATGAGTTAAATACTTAACTGTTAGTTGGTTTAGATCTGTGATAAGAAAGTTGGGCATGATAGTCAAAGTAAGCAGTAAGTCACTGCAACAAACAGCCTGGTAAAAAAAACAACTTACACACAGGGAGTGACAGACCACTGCTGGCAAGTAAAAGGATTTATACCTGCAGCTCTGTCAGCATCTGGAGTAAGACTGAGATATTAGCTACTGTCTTCAGTGTTCAAATCTACCTCAGCTAACGCAGGGCAATTTGCAGGTATATGCTTACATTTATTCCAGAACAATGCAGAATTCCGCATTCAAAAATCTGGGATTCACCTGTGAATCACTTGTAAAACTGGACCTAGCAGCAAAATCCCTTCCTCCCATGTTGCTTGTCCTAACTACCAAATGCCTTCATGGCTGCTGGATGCCTATGAGACCACACACTACTTTCCCAATAGTTCAGAAGGAACATATCCATCCTCCTTCAGCATGTCATTGAGATCTATAGCTAATTTTAAGATGTGAAGCTGTATAAATCTTCTTTTCCCCATTGCTACGGAACACTGCCTAAGAAGGAACAGAGTAGAAGAGTTCAGACAAGCTAAATACAGTAACTGAGGTGGGAACGGACCTCAAGAGATCTCTCATCCAATCTCCCGCTCAAAGCACAAGCAGCTATGGGGACCCACCACGTTGCTCAGGGCTACATCCATCTGCATCTTGAAAACCTCCAAGGATGGAGACCCCACAACTCTTCTGAGCAACCAGAATCATTTGCAGTTATCTTTGTTAGTCCCTGGATGGTGAAGGAGGTCCCAGAAGACTGGACAAGGACAGTTTAAAATCAGTGTTTAAAAGGCACGATAAAAGATCCAGGGAATTAGAGTAGCCCTCTCAGCTCCAATATCGGGAAAGAAACCACAGCAAAGCACAACGTAAGAAATCTACAATCACTCACATGACATCATCCAGATAATTAAAAAAAAGTCAGTGGTGATTTACGGGTAGCAAATCCCATTATATCTTTCCTTTTTTGATAGCGTAATGGAGAAAGCAAACCAGTCGATGAAGTTGACTTAAGGTTTTGACGCATATGTAATCTGTTGATGATGCGAATTCAGGAGGTGTGCAGAAGGTGTGAGGGGTAGGAATTTAAATTCAAGGCGATTACGGTGTATTGCCAAAAACGGGCAAGACAAAATTTTGTAAAAACAGAGGAAAGCAAAACCACAGGCACAAACACACATGCAAAACACATCAGCGTAGGGGAGAAGGACCTGTAGGCTGCCACGAAACAGAAATCAGGGAGGTGGCACTGCAAAAAAAAGAAAAATCTTTCTGGCTTCCATCAGCAGGCACAGAGACGTAGGTGGCAACTACCGCAGATACGCGGGGCGATTACGCCAATCTTGCCGGTGCCAGAAAGGCCTCAACTGCAGCTACACGAGAGCTAAAACCGTGTCACGAGAGGAAAGCAGCAGGAACTGGGTGATCCTGTGAGGAGACAGAAGCCTGCCCGGCGGGAAGGATGAGGGGGCTGGAGGAGCAGCAGTCCGCCAGCATAAACCCCCCTACCCCCATTTCCCTGAAGAGAATCGGAATTAACTCATCCCTGCCTTTGCCAGGGGACCCTGAAATACGTTCCGAGGGAAAAGCTTTCCGCCACCGGCGACCCCGCGGCAACCGGGCG